TATATGTGCGGCGATCCATATCTGTATGCTTTCTGACTCATCTGTGCAGTTGCCAATAGTTTCTTTCTTTAGGGAGCATCAAGATGCTGGCAAATAATAGTGGTAGGTGTCTCTTAGGGGTCATGGTTCATGGCCCTCTCTTCTCCACTATGCATTTTTTCTATAGAGATACTGTGTACTATTAAAATTCCTCCTTTTTTGTAGTGATCTGGGTGCCCTTGTGTTTCATTTTAGGGGGTCCCGGGTGTCTCTGGGCCCCCGCCGTTGCCACGGCGGGAAGTTGGCAGCAAATTGGAGATTTGCTTTTAAGTCTGATTGGAGAATAATATGTATGTCCATTTTTCTATGTTGTGAGTATATTGATACTTCTGGAATTATATGAATATCTTTTATAGACAAATATGTTGGTTCTAAATAAATGTGTCTCCAATCTCACAGATCATATCACCTCTGTGCAGAGTTTTGTTATCCCTGAAGAAATCACTCTGAAACACGTTGGATCTTTGCACAACTATCCTTGTAACTAATCAGGATTACTGCAAGATCATCTCTGTAATTTAACGATATTCACTGATGGTGATGTTATGTGATATTATAATTGTTTGTAAATGGTGTGCTATGTCATAACTTTTATAAGTGTAGAAACTTTGACAAAATAAAGATTTCACTATTTTATTGAATATATATATGCCTTCAAAGTCCCATTAAGTATAATGGGGTTCTTCTCATATTTCATCCTTTTTTTTAAGGATGGTGGCTGCTTATCAGGAATTCTCTTTTTCTTCCTTTGTTTCTCTTTTTTCAGGTAGTTTCAGCACCGACACTTGTGACTAGCAAATAGAAATTGGCCAGTCATTCACTAAGGCTGTCCTTATTCTTACTGATGCAAACTGCTCTACTGCTGAACATTTTCTATCAAACTTTAATAAGAATTAAGAGACAGCAGATGATATAGCAGTGTAAAATTAGCCAGTGGAGGACAGTTTTAGAAAGCAAGCCTAAAGCCCCTTTCACACAGGCATCATCCATTCAGTAACATTTTTGCTAAAAAAAATGGATTCAGTTTACATCAGTTAACATCTATCTTCCGTTTAGTTCCATTTGTTTACATATGTTTTTCAAATCTTTATATCCACTTTTTCATCCATTTTCATCAATTTTTCATCAATTTACATCCATTTTTTTGTTCGATTTCCTTTTTTTTTAAATGGAACAAAAATGCAGACTTTTTCCTTTTTAAAAAAATGGACATGAGTGGAAATGGGCAAAAAAACTGTTTTGCCCATTGGAATGCATTGCTGTCCATTTTTCATCTGGCCATTTTCATTAATCTGTTGACAGATGAAGAAAAGACTGCAATGCATTACTATGAGCAAATGGATGTAAATGGATGCCAATCCATTTACATCAGTTTTTTGGCTGCTTCCGTTGATATCCATTTTTTAAAACAACAAATCTGCATTTTTGTTCAATTTAAAAATGGAAGTGGATTAAAAAATAATGTAAATGAATGAAAACTGATGTAAATGGATGAATAATTGATGTAAATGGAACAGAACTTAATGGAAGAAGGATGTTAACTTATGTAAGCTAAATCCATTTTTATTTTTAGCAAAAACATGACTGAACGGATGACACCAGTGTGAAAGGGGCCTAACACGAAATGTACTATATACAGTTGTAGGCAGGTGTTTTAGTATAAGAAATAAAGATTGCAGATGAAAAAGCAGTGTAATTTTGTCCATGTGGCAGGACAATGAACAAGACTCTTCCCCTTCTCCCCTATGCATCTGATCTCTAGCATGCCTCCCAATGTGATATATATATATATATATACAGTATATATCATTGTATGTGTTCTGCACATTAACCCCTTTCTCCACCTTCTGTGTATGATTTCTATGTACTGTATCCAGTGCACCATTACCAAGCTTCAGGTTTTAACACACTTTCTACCAGTTTTTTCCTTCATTTTCAAAAAAAGGTGTGGCAAAAAGTCAAGATCATTGTAGGTTGTCTACTTTTCAAATGGGCCATTTTGGTGGTGTTTGCACTGTTCTTGCATTTTTATTGCAATAGAAAGAAAGTAGAACAGTTTCTTTTTATCTCTTTTCCTTTAGATAGTACAAAATAAAAAATTAAGTGGTTATTAAAAACCACCAAAAGAAAGCTCTATCTGTCTCAAAAAGTGTAATAAAATCAATTTGGGTAAAATGTTACAGCAGATACACATCCACCTAGATGAATCCTCTAATACCTGTATTAATCATGAAAACCTACTCTATGTGGCCTTTTGATTCAGAACATACTTTGATACTAAAGGATCTTTACTCCCACTCCTTAAAATCTAACTCTCTAACACCACTATCCAAACCTAAGTTAACAGTAATGAATTCTCATTGTATAGACATGTATATGGAGCATACCTCAAAGAGCAAGTCATAGCTCCCAAGTTAGACAAACTGAGGACTATAGTAACAGTAAGTTGATGTATTCGCTTTAAAATGGACTCATGAAGGCATAAATATGGGAGCTGCCATTGCTAACTTAAGCTGGCTTTACATGGACTGAAATTTGTCCGGTTCAGCAGGGACCAGCAGAATTTCGATCCATGTATGGTAACTGTGGTTGAACGGAAATTGATCTACCAATCAACTCCATTAATGCTACTGGTTATAGTCTGCAGCTCTGATCGGAGTATTGTGATGGTGGGGAAATTTTTCTGCTGTAAGAATACAAAGACACAGCGGAGAGGATTCCTCCATCCACCTCAAATGCATGGATGGTGGAATTGGGTCAGTTTTTTTTTTATTTAACTGGCTGGTTGAATGAAAAAAATGCATACTATTGTATGGGCAATTTTAGTCTTTTTTAAGCTTGTAGGCTTAGTGTCTGTTATCCTGTTGCTAACATGAAGACCTAGTTGGTCATAGGCTGGAAACAAACATGGTATAAGAAAGTTCAGACTTTTCATACTATATTGGTTGCATGCCTTAGATGAGTTCAACATTTGAGGTTGATGGGGAAATCCTCCCTGCTGTGTCTTTGTATTTTGAGATTGGGTAGAGTTCCCCACTTTCAGAATACACAGATCAGTGCCGCAGTCTATAGTCTGCAGATCTGATCATGTGGAAATTTTCCAGCAGGGTGGTTTGAAAAGAAGTTGATTGGTATATCGACTTCTCTTCAACCACAGTGGCCATATATGGATTGAAATTTGGCCAGTCTCTGCTGAACTGTTTTGGCCAGTTTGTATGGATTAGAGTTGACATCCTGACAAACTGCACCTTTAAAAACCAACTCAGCAATGGCAGTTCCCATAATTCCATCTTCAAAGGTTAACTTTAAACAGAAACCTCACACTATTTTGAAAGAAATAATAAATTTTAGGCAAAAATCAGAATATTGATTTAAAATGATGATCTATTTCTAAATGTAATTTATACTTCCCCACTTACCTTTGTATTTGGGGTTAGGAAATATGTAAATCCAGGGTCCAACTACATTACGAACGATGTTTCTATGCCTCACCTTCTACGGTATCATGCTGTATGACAGCACAACATATGAAGAATCAAAGCAAGGATTGTTTTGATTGCTGAATAAATTATTAGACCTACTCTACTAAGATATGCTGTGAGGTAGGTGAACTAGATGTAGCCAAACAGGCTAAAATTCAAGTGCATTTGAACCTAGCAAGTAGAGGAATGTTAACATTGTAAAAAATAACTTTTTAACAGAAAGGGTTATAGTTTTTTTCTACAACTTGTTATGCTATTTAGCCTGTTTTATGTAAACAGTCTTGAGTAGATTTAATTAATATGAAATAATATGATAGACAACTATAGAGATTGTTTTATTTTCATATGCATTTATTACTATTTGTCTGTAACATTTCACCTTTGAAGAGTAAACAATTTTACCCTATAATGTAAATTCTCAATTGTGGCATTGTCTTCATTTAACTTTGTGGAATCCTTAATTCATTAGTTGGTTGTGGTGTTCCAGATTGTTTTTTGTGTTCAGCTTATACTACTGTTCAGGCCATGGCTGCAAAGCCAACTTGGTTGTTGCCAAGATCATAAACAGAATAGTACTGCCTAAGAAATACATCCCCCAGAATCCAAAGTGGCTGACCATTCCGTGAAGGTAGGTATGTTGACTCAAATCCAACTACACAGTATCCATTGATCTGAAAATAACAGTGATAGATGCTTGTATTCAAAAACTGCTGAGTAAAAACACAGTAAAAGCACTGTGAAATAAACGTTTATAAATACCTGTAGGATGTATCCTGAAGGAGGAATGGAAAACTGGTTTCCACCGATGGTGAAGCTGATAGGTGGCAGATTTTGTACATTGTTGCAATTTACATAATACTAAAAAGAAGCAAAGGGTAATCAGGACCCAGGTTTGGTTTATACTGTATGTAAGAATGCTCATTTACAGAAAGTTTAGAACATTTATAAATATCATTACCTGGCCATTTTGACCTTGCTGGGCACCTAGATCCTGTAGAAGGGTACTAAGGTACTGTTGGGGAATGGTAAGAAGAGGAGTGCCTGTATCCACAATGCCCTGGCAGCCCTGACTGCACCAGCCGCTTGGCTGTCCATTAACTGAGAATCTAAAGGGGTAAAAAAAAAAAACGCTATTTGTAGTCACATATACAGTATCTATTCAGCATCTCAATAATATCCTAAATTATCAGTGATTTTCTGTTTAAATGTATTTATTTAATTTTATTACTATCATTATTATTTCATAAAGAACTGTAAAAAGAGCATTAACATCGCTCAAAGGTCAGTAGATGTAAGTAGTCAGGTAGCTTATTGCACATTTGTTTTCTTTTTTTTTTTTGCCTTACTGGAGCCTGAAAATGTACAAATATTGTTAAAATGGAATTGCTTTATAAACATTTAGATCCTCAGTAATTCAAATTTCACCAGGCTGTCAGCAAAAATCTGGTTTACTGATACTCACTCCTCAATGGCAATCTGCCAGTAGATCTGCTCAGTAACTGGAGTCCAATAGATCTGGCCTGAATATAAACTGTTGTCCACTCCACCAAGTATTACTTCTCCAGATTGACTGGGAAGATAAAAGGCATTCGATTATTGAAACTCTGACATAAAGAACAAGTTTGATAAACTTCAACATTTTGTGGGAAGCATATTGTGTTGTCATCTTTTTAATAGATATTTGGTCCTGAGTTATTAAACGGTGAAATAAAGAGAGGTGCAAATATAAAAAAAAAAAGTACCCATATCCACTTTAAATATGCAATCAAGTGAAGGAGAAGCTCAGTTGTTTAAAATTATTCTGGACATGACTGGATGTTTGACATCAATACAACTTGGCGTCAAAGTTCTTCACTTCGTCTTACTTTGATAAATACGTAAAACTCTAGAATTAGACAAAACAGATATTTCCTTGCTGTAAAGTGGAATAAAGTGAAAAGAATATTACTTCCAGTTTCAGTGGAGTATTTGCTTTTGTGCCACAACCATAGAAAGTATTAAACTGCTAAATTGCTTCTCCTTGCACGTTAAAACACTGTATGCATATTTTGGTCTTCCTAAAACAGTTTAGGGATACAAAAAATAAATAATTAGCTTAACTTGTTTGTGGTAATCTAGTATCTAGAATTATAATTAAATGTCTTTATACTGCTTAAAAACTAATATTTAAGTTTTGCCTTGAAACAAATTATGGATTTACTTTACTAGAAAAATCTACTACATTCTCTACAATTTTCTCATTGAGGACTTATTCAATAAAAATGGGAAAGTGTTGAAACTAAACTCAGTTTTTTTGTCCAGCCAAAATGTTACTTTCAATGACTATGTTATCATTTAACAAACCCTCTGTTTCTCATTATCTTTAAGTACTGTAATATATGAGCTTAATGTCATTGCAGCTGACATCAGAAATGATTAAACAACAAGAAAGAATTATATTGATAAAAACTTGATAATGACTCACATAAACCTGGTAATCATTAATACTTTGATAAACACTGCCTCCTAGAATGAAATTTATGAACCTGCTGGCTTATCATGTAATTATATTCTGGAATTACTATAAATAATTGAATTAAACTGTTTTATAGATGTAAGAGAAAATGAAAGTATCTGATTGGCTGCCAAGAGCGACAATCCAAGACTGTATTGTATGCACAAGGTGACAGAGCGGGTTATTTAATAAAACTAGAGCATAATCTGGTGCAGCTCTGCAAAGAAACCAATCAACTTCAAGGATTCATTGTCAAAGCTTATTTGAACAAGTTAAAATTAGAATCTAATTGGCTAACATGCACAGCTGCACCAGATTCTGAGTGCTCCAGTTTTAGTAAATCTCCCTCAGTGTCTCTTGACACTGACTTTGATATATCTCTGCAACCTTTTCTATGTTTAATCGTGGTTGGTTCTCACCCAGTGAGATAGAAGCTGAACACAGGCTGTGGAATAAGATTTTGTTGTATCAATCCCTGTATGGCGGTTGTGGCACTTTGTGCTGACAATGACTGATAGGCCATTCCAAAAATACCGTCAAATTTGGCATAATAGAAAAAACTGCTTGGTTCAGTGACACTCAGACCCAGCTCCTGGTTTTGGATGGAGAGCCCTTGTACCTATAATATATAAATACATGAGAACAGCTATAAAAGTTATATGGTAACTGGTGTAATTCTACTGGTACATCATAAAAATAAAATATTGTAAGAAGACACGAAAAAAAGCACAGATAGTATGTGTAAACGGTTAAGTAAATTGCCTTTTTTATCTGTATCTACCGTTAAGGGTGTTGCTTGTGGCATAGAGCAGACCCATACTGCTCAATTTTATGCTTGTTAAAGAAGGTCCTAGGAGCATTTCCCTTGATTCCAGGCACATGGCATTTCTTGTCACCCGTTTTATGTGTGTTCCCCCTTTTCCCCATGAACATGTTTATACATACATGGTATTTTATTTAGCATCAATCTTTTTGTCACACTGAGGTTGTTTTTTGCATTGTACTGTTTCCAGTCTGGATAACGTGGCACAGGGCATTCAGAAAGTTTTCAAGTGTAAAAGGGGTTCATGCTGATCCTGTAGATATTCAACTGTGTTTCCCCCTGACTCTTGCATACACTATGCTTGAGATGTGCAATGCATGACATTTGCAATTTGTTGAATGTCTAAATCCTGTCAAAATTTAGTAAAACATTATTATATAAAAAATGGTTTAAGTTAGAAATGTATTAGGATATTTTGAAGAGAATTAACTAAGTTTCTTTAAAGTGCATTATATTCAGAAAACCTTTGAATAACCCCAGTGGAAATAATTTGTGGAAACCAAAATCAGGTGATGAAATGATTATAGGCTAATTCCACCTTTTGAAAAAAATAAATAAATAATTGCATTGAACCCTGCAAAGCATTGTGGTGGGTCATGGGTGCAATGCTCAGGCTCCTTGAGTCTTGGTACAGAACTTCGGTTATGAGGCTGGTGGAAGTTTCAGTAGGCTACAAGGAAGGAGATGTCACCGCACTTGTACTCTACTAGGCAATATGAGTCCCTCTGCCAAGGTGGGAGATGGGACTAGTATTCTCTTCATTCACAGATTTATGTGAATGAATGATGGAGCTGCGCAGGGTGCAACAATGCACAGCTATACCCCATTCAAAAATTGACAGGAGCTTGTGGGAAGAAGAACCTTCTGGATCCTTTAAAAGAAGGATGGGGAGGAGGGGGTGTTTAAGGATGAGAGGCTGTGGACTTTGATCATATTTTATATTACACCATAAAGATTAAGATAGCTTTTAAAAACTGATTGATCTCCCAATCAGTAAAACCTGCAAATTTGAATTTCAACGAGAAAGAGATTTTAACTAATCATCATATGTTTAATCAACACAAAAGACATAAAATAAAATGTACTTACTGTGACTGTGTCATAACCCAGCACTCCAGTCATGCTACCACTACCATACCACATTGAAAATTGTTGATTATTGGAATTATATGTAGAAGATTGGGTAGGATTGAACAATGGGTGGTTGGCTAAAAGTTAATGGAAAAATGTATGTTATAAAAAGATGCAAAACAGAATAACTTTCATTTTTTATATTTGCAAAATTAGGAACATCGTGGGATTTTCATTAGACTCTTCCTATGACAACAACAGTCAGTTTTTGTTTATATTCTGGGGATGGATAGGGTTGTTGGCAAACGATCTCATTCTTCCTGAGCAACAAAAAGTATTGGCATTCAATCATGCTTTATTTCAACAAAAACCTGCAACTCTTTGGTCATTGTATTTTTATCCATTTGTAAATTGTAATTAAATAATTCACTATATGTTATTGTAGCTTGCATTGAATATTTTAGATGATGCACTACTGTGACAAACAGTGCCAATTTTGGTTACTATTTAATGATATATATAATGTTTAAAACACAATCATACAACTACATTTTTAGATGGTTTACAAACTACCTACTACAGGCTGAACTTTGACAGTATGTAGAAGCAACCCAAAGATTGGAAGAACCAGTGTCAAAGGCAACAAGAAAGTTCTGGGGTGGGGTTCCAATGCTGATCTCACCAAAATAATAGTTCTGGAAGAGAAAGTAAACATGTTTGGTTCATATTTGTTTATACATCATAACATCATGATTAAAATATACTGTATAAGCAATGAACACTTACATCCAAATACATAGGTTCATAAGCAACTCCAAAGTTGCTCTGACTGTTTAGGTTGTATTTAATAGCTGGTTCTTTTATGTGGGTTTTCATAAAGTTCTCCAGAACGCCTTCCTCTTTCATGGTTTCTCTGATGGATTTCATTCTTTTTAGGGGAACCCTTCAATAAAGAACAATATATTAATTGGCATTTTTCTACAATATTATGTAGATAATGTCAGCAACCAAGTGAGGATGAATAAAATTTCTCTTTACTTCGTCCAAGGAGTACACTTGTTCCAAACAAGCCAACACTAATGCATTTTAGCCTATCAAGGCCTTCCTCATAGTTCAAATTTTATTCATCCTCACCTGGTTGCTGACATGGAAGGACTCTTGTGTTGCGGGGTGTAGACCACAAATCAGGTATGGTAAGTGGAAACAAAGAGCTCTTGCCATCCCTGGTTGCATGTTTGGGTTGTACTGCCATTATCTTGCATGTGTGTTTATATTTGTGCAATATATTTTTATTGAACATGAAGTATTGAGTATAGTCATATTTTATCAATATTATGCACAATGTTAACTACAGTTAGGTAAAACATATGCCACTTACTGTATTACAGTATAATGATATGTCACAACTATATATATAAAATGTATATATATATATATATATTGTATATAAATGAATAGAGCTTATCTAGA